TGTGATAGATTTACATAATAAAAATGCTGCTATTACTGGTGCTAGTAGTGGTATTGGCAAAGAAATTGCCTTGACATTAGCAAAAGAAGGGTAGGATTTGTAATGATTTTTTATTTGAATTTTTTTACTTTAATTTTATATACTTAGTTGTAATGTTGCTTTATTAGCTCGTTCTCGTGATGCTCTAGAAAATCTCGCATCAGAATGTACAAAACTTGGTGTTAAAGCTCATGTTATTATCTGTGATATGTCATCAAAACAATCAGTTGATGATGCATGTAAACAAATTGGTCAATTATTTCAAAATAAATTACATATTTTGATTAACAATGCTGGTATTTTGGGTGAACATATTTCTTCAATTGAAGAAAAGACATCATCTGGAAAAGATGTAGTAGATATGTGGGAAGAAGTCATGAATGTAAATTTAGTCAATCTAATGCGTATAACAGGACGATGTTTACCAATGATGAAAGAATGTAAACATGGTGCAATTATTACAATATCATCATTAGCAGCAGTTGTAAGTTAAAAATATTGACGTGGATGTCAATTTAATTTTCTTTGTATTCTAGATGACTAGTGCTAAAACAGCTCAATATAATGCTAGTAAATGGGGAGTTAATGGATTTCTTGGAGCAATTTATGAAGGTGAAATATATATTTATATAATAATAATTTTCATGTTAGATTTTATCTTTAGATGTTCGCGAATATGGTATCAAAGTCTGTTCTATTATGCCAGGTTTTGTCAATACTCCAATGCTTGATACAGATGCAATGAAATTAAATGCTGACAAATGCATTCAATCTGAAGATATTGCCGAAGGTGTTCTATATATCATAAGAACACCATATAGTGTTTGTCCAACTGAAATTAAATATCGACCACAATATTCACCATATACAAAATAAAGACATTATATTCTTAAAAATTCGTACTAACTTTACTTTCTTTTTTTTATCAACCATTTTAATAAATATACAACATTCATCAAGTATATATATAGGTCATCATCCACCCCCTCTTGAATATAATGAAATTAGTAATTAAGAAAAAATCACTCCTTATATTAATTGTAATAAACAATTTATGATAAGAACAAGAAAGTTTGTTTTTAGTTTTAAATTTGTGCTAATATCCATGCTTGAATATCATCAATCATAGTTTTTTCTTGTTCACTTTCAACTTGACTTCGTGTTCGTTGACAAGCTTTTCGGATACTTTCACCCGTATACATTTGTCCGAGAAGATTTTCTTTTAAACGATTTATCATATTTACATATAATGAATCAGAATAAATTTCACATGTATGAATAAGTCCATCACGTTCGGATATAATACCAATAGATATTGTACCCCATGGAAAACGTTTTTCATATTCATGAGTAAATGAAAATGTTTGTCCAAAACGCCATTGAGAATCACTATATAATTTATATGATGTATTTAATTCCGGTATTGAATTAAGTATTTCTTTTGATAGAATTTCAGCAGATGGTATTTGATTATTTGAATATATTTGACGATAAGATTTTTCAATAGCTAAACAAAGATCTTTATGATTTATTGATGGATTTGCTTGACATAAATTAATAACACGTGCTTGAACAGAATCAACACCTTTTGATAATAGTTTTTCTTTATTGGGATTTAAATATTTTTTCATTGCATTTGTATCAACATCAGTTATTAATGTACCATGATGAAGTGCAAATTTACGAGTATTTTGATAAGCAGAACCGGAAAATTTACGATTATCTGGACCATAGACAAGATCATTTCGACCATGAATATGACCTTTAATATTAAATGATGAATGTAAAGCATCGAGAAGAATTTTTGAATTAAGATTTTTATCTAATTGATGATGAGCTTGAGAAACAAGAAAGGTAAAACAGGTATTGCCTAAATCTTGATAAACAGCACCTGAATAAGAGGAAAAAAATATAATACAATAGTCTATAAGTAATAGAAATGCTTTGAATAGACCCTAAAGACTATAGACATTTACACAGTTGGCGATACCTGACCCGTACTTTCCCCTTGCATCAAGTATAAATTTAGCTTTTTTAAAGATGTATAATCATTGTCTCTCAAAACTTACCGCCACCCGATCGTCGTCGAGCAAGTAATACACCATCATTTTCCATTCTCTCCAAAAAACATTCTTTCTAAAAATATCTAATTTTTATTTGATTTTTTTTTAAATTGAAATTTTCTACCCAAGGATTTTGATTTCGTCCAATAATTACACATTTATCATTTTGCCAAAGAAATAGAATATGTTCATTGGGTTTAATTGTATTTGATAACCATTCTTCAGTTGCTAAATTAAACCAAATATTAGTTGATGATGAATAAATAATTCGATGAATAGCTTCATTTTTAACAGATGAATATTTTCGAATAAATTGTATTAAAGGATATCGAAATGATAAAATCATTACCTAACCAAGTTTTCGTTTTCTAAA